TTATTCTTTAAAGTTGTACGTGATGGAAATTCACTTACCAAAGGAGGTTCCGCTGATTGTCCTTCCTGCCTCCTCCTCTGCATGTACTGGATTTTTATTTTTAGGGAGTGATTACCTAGTTTTGACAATACCCCCTCCCACTTCCGTTTTGGAGAGCCTAATCCATTCAGCAGTTCGCTACCCCCCCTCCACCTCCTGAGACACGTCATAGGTCCCAGGAGGCCGTGGGGCCATTTACAGAGCACAGCACAACAGGTGCATGCGTAGTGGGGTGAAGCCACAAAGAATCACAACCGGCTTCCCGCAGTCAACATGGTAGCGCTGGGGACCTGAAGACTAGCAAAGAACCGGCCAGGATGAGGACAGTGCTGGATCCCTGGGATGGTAAGTGTATTTTTATTGAAAGTCAGCAGCTGCTGACTTTTATGGGGTTTTTTTTACCTGACTTGAGTTCCTTTTTAAGTAAGTCTCCCTAATGAATATCTTTTGCTCAGGGTAGGCGTGTGGACAGCAAGATCGCAGATGATTTATTCAATAGCACAGGACAGCGAGCAACTGCAATGTACAGACCAAATTTCCATTTCTCTGAAATCAGGTCATCTTAAGTTGAATTCTGATTTGTTGCCAAATATCTCTAATTAGTATATTGAAATGTGCAACTACGATGTATGTTTTCCCTTATCAATTTATCCACTTGATATAATTTACATATTATCTCTCTCTATATAATTTCTGCACATTGTAGACTCTTTATTGAGCACTGATGAGAGCAACTTTTTCACATGCACTATATACTGCAGGGATGTTCAATTTGTATCGCCTTTTAACCAGGACATGTAGTTCTGGACGCTGGGCACGTAGTTTCTTTTAACCTACAGCCCTGCTGCGTGCAAGCAGCAGGACTCACCTGTCAGATGGAAGCATACGGGCAGCAGCGCTGCAGCCGATCGCTTCCACACAGCCCCCTACAATTCCAACCTCCTCTGCTGCCGCCTCCCCAAACTGCCACCCCTGCCTGCTCCCGGGCTCCGCTTGCCCATCTGTGGGCCTGAGACCTGTTCAGAGAGTGCCAGTGGGTAGAGGGGAAAAAGAAGAATGGACACTCGCTCTGCTCCCTTTCTTGTCCTGACCCGGAAGTGACATGACTTCCAGGTCCCCGTTGAAAGAATATAATACGGTGCGATGTGCACTGCACTACATCCAGTGGAGTACAGGAGAGACATCCAGGGTTTGTAAGAGAAACTTTCACCAAAAATCATCCTATCTGATGAAAAAAAAAAAAGGTGAGTAAAAAAAAATGTTTTAAAACTGTAAAAAAATTAAAGTTACACCCAAAGCACAAACTCCCCCCCCCCCCCCCCCATATACACAAGTACAAACGTAAAAGTACACGCCGGGGCGCAAAACGTTGATTGCGAAACATGTCACATATTGCCGTGTACGCCAGAATGAAAGCAATAATTCTAGCACCATACCTCCTCCGTAACACTAAACTGATGACCGATAAGAGGCTTTAAAAGCATCACCTATAGAAAATACAGGGTACTAAAGTTTGTCGCCATTTCACAAGGGCACGCAAATGTATGTTTTGACATGTTGGATATCTATTTACTCATCTTTTATATTTTGGGTACAACTCTAAAATGTTGGATTTCCCCCTATAAGTGACAATGGTCATGTTTATGTTCTTGTTGGAGAGATTTCCTATCACTTTCTGTCTTTGCTGAAAGTCAAGGAAATGTGCCCAATAAGGACACAGACGGCAACAGAAACCTGACAGAGGCCCCAAGTCTTCTTCATCCAAAAAAAGCTTTAAGCTGGAGCTGGGCTTAAAGGAAAAGTGTAGGATCACTCAGTTTTCACAGCTCTCTGCTCCTCCAGTGATCACTTGAATGTCGAGCTGGGGAGGGGGTGGGAACGGCTGGCCATCTGCCAATCAGGCATCTGGGTGGATCCTGACATTAAAGTCGGGATCTCTTCAGAGCCTGGACCGGCTCTGTGACATCAGCCAACAGGGTGCTTTAGCCTACTATCAGCTAATTCTGGGTCACAGGAGAGCAAAATTAAGTGCACTTCTGTTACCAAGAGAAGTATGACCGAACAAAGCTTTGGCTATGCTTCTCTTTTAACATATAGCATGTTATTATTGTATATAAAGAATATGCAAGGCTTGACTTCCAAATCCTATTCTGTACAGTACCATTTTTACCACACTCTGCCGAATGCTTTGTTACCATGTTTCCAGCTTCCAGTCAGACGCCATCTTTTTGTCATCCAATCAAAAGCTGGGAATAGAAGAAAGCCTGATATCACAGACAGTAGAGATTCACTAAAGAGGTGAATGGTTTCAATTTTAGACCAGGGTCAGGAAGAAACATCTAAGGGCTCATTCACACTATGTTCATTGAGCTGCACAGATCAATGCAGTGCTTAGCACAAGAATACATAAAAAACAATTGTTTTCTATGTGCCCTGTTTACACCATGACACTGCATTGAGGAGGGTTGTGGTAGGTTGTGTAGTATTGCAGCTTCATTTCTATACACCGCACCTTGCATGCATGTAACCAGTACACACAGTTGTATGAAGCCTCATTTTGTGACACTTCAATAAAGTTGAAAAAAGAAGAAAAAAGTAAACAGTGCAATGAGTTTGTGACAATGCACTGCACCTTACTGCCACTATACAACATACACCGGCTTGCACGTGTTTTCAGCTTGGGCTGGTGTGAACAAGCATTAGCTGTACAATGCACAATCTTGGGTAAACGTCCTACATACTATTAACATACTGCAATTATTATATGGTTATTATGTTGTCAAAGGTGATTTACAGGGTGCAGTTTAACTTTCTTAAATATCTGTATACCTGCCTATCCAGTCCTGAGAGTTACATAGCCAGGTCACTGGTCTGACCTCTCTCTACAGCAGTTTAAGTATACCTGTCAAAAGATGACTATGCAGGATGCCATGGCTGACCTTTCCTTCTCAGAGTATTAGTGCTCTGCCTGTCATGTTGATCCTTTGGCTTCAACGCTTTCCTGAACCAAGAACAGACATAAATAATTCTGTCAAATGATTTACTTGTATGGCTATACAATTCAAGTACATGAATGTAATAACTAATTGTGATACCAAATGCCCAAATCACCAATCATGCTTGTTCTGTGTCTAACTTGGAAGTCAGACACAGTCAGGCAACATTGCCCTGTTTTTGGAGTGTTGAGAGCCCATTCCAAATGAACAGACTTAAAGCAGAACTCCAGCCAAAAATAAAACAATAAAGAGCCCATTAAAATATAAAATACCAAAAACAGATTTTGCTGTAACTTTCAATCCAAATTTGCCGATAATGCTTGCTTTCTGCCACTAGATGTCCTCAGTCTGATGGTCAGCATGATTCAACCCACTTCCTCTGGCCTTGGACCAGCCTGTGACTGGACCATGAAAGAAGAAGCTGCACAGTGATGACACCGCTGATTGCTCAGTTCTACCTGCTGCTTCAAGCAGAGAGAGGTAACTGTCAGTCACCACTGTCTAGGCTGCCCCCCTCCAGCACTCACTGGAGCGATAGGCTGTGGAGGGGGAGGGAGGGGCTGGCTCAGCGTTTCAGTGGATTGCTAACAGGCTGAGCCAGGTGCCAGTTCAGCCATCTGGGTGGATCCCAACTTTAAAATCAGGATCTTTCCCCAGTCTGAACCAGCTGAGTGATGTCAGTGGACAGTGGACTTCAGCCCACTGTCAGCTAAAAATGGGTCACAAGAGTGCAGAACGAAGTGCACTGCTGTGATCGAAAGGAGAAGTACAGCCAAATGAGCTTTAACTGTACTTCTCCTTTAAGCAATACAGCTAGGTCAACTTCCTACTCCCCTCCCCCAGCCTGCGACTAGGCAGTAAAAGCAGCAGAAGACTGATGAACTCATCTCTCTGCTCATTTTTCTACCTCCTGTCAGCATGTTCCTCTCACTACACATGCATGTACCTCATCTGTGTGACTACTGTTGTCCATCCCCCTCCCTATCTGAGCTCCTCTGCTCAAAGGAATACAAGAGGCTGATATCAAATCAAAATTCAGGTACTTAAAGTGAAACTTCACTCTCTCAATCAACAGTCACTATGTTTAATCCGCATGCTGCTAGCATTAGTAAATAGATAGAAAAGTATATTATATTTACTGGTTTTAAACCTTTTTTTTACATTTCTTCAGTTACTTCCTGGTTTCCATGCCTAGGCAAATGATGTCATACATCCCAGGAGTCTTCAGGAAGGGAGGAGAGGTTTTCTCAGCTAAGCACACCCTCCTGCCTGCATGCCTGAGCTAAGGGAGGATGGATTCCACGAAGTAGTTGCTATGTGAATCATCTGCCCTTACTTAAGATGACCATGGCCAGAAATGCTGGGGGGTGTTTTTCAAAATGATTTCTCAGCAAAATAAAACATGGAGACATGGATGGATGGGGTCATTTGCTTTGAATATTAAAAAAATGAATTAAATAGCACTTTTGGTTTGTGGTGCTCAGATGCAGCACACTTCTGCTTTAACCACTAGCCTACCAGGCACTTATACCCCCTTCCTGCCCAGGCCAATTTTCAGTTTTCAGTGCTGTCACACTTTGAATGACAATTGCGTGGTCATGCAACACTGTACCCATATGACATTTTTATCATTTTTTTGAGACAGATAGAGCTTTCTTTTGGTGGTATTTAATCACCTCTGTGTTTTTTATTTTTTTGCTAAACAAACCAACAACAAATGAAATTTTTTTTTTTTAAAAAAGTGTTTTTTCTTCGTTTTTGTTTTAAAATGTTGTAAATAAGTGATCTTTCTCCTTCACTGATGTGCGCTAATGAGGCTGCAGTGATGGGCACTGATAGGTGGCACTGGTGAGGAGGCACTGGTAGGTGGCACAGATGGGCATTGACAGGCATCACTGATGGGCACTGAAAGGCAGCACTCATATATGGCACTGATAGGCAGCACTGATAAGCAGCACTGACAAGCACTGTTAGGTGGCACTGACTAGCACTGTTAGGTGGCATTGATAGGCAGCACTGACGAGCACTGATAGGTGGCACTGACTGGCACAGATAGGCGACACTGAAAGGCAGCTCAGATGGGCACTGATATTTGGAATTGATGTGCACTGGTAGGCACTGATGGGCACTTGCAGGTGGCACTGATGAGCACTGACAGCTGGCATTGATTTGACACTGACAAGTGGCACTGTTGGGGCTACACAGATCATCAGGGCACACTGATCATCAGTGCCCTGATGATCAGTGTACATGTCCCCTCCAAGGAATGCCGATTACCGGCTCTCCTCTCCTCACGAGCTGTCAGCATGACAGCTCGTGAGGAGAGAACTGCCGATAACCGGCATTTCCCTATTTACATGCAATCAGCTGTGATTGGACACAGCTGATCACATGACCGAGCTGACATCTTTGGCTGTTTCCGTTGATCTGCTGTGTCCGGGGGACACAGCGCACTGCCGATCTCCGCGCATGCGCGGTTAGAATGGGAGGACGTCATAGGACGTCCTCCCAGAACGATAGAACCACCTTGCACCCGTCATTGCACTATATGGCGGGCGGGAGGTGGTTAAAGTGGAACTACACTGCATATGAGCACCAAAAACACTATTTCATTCATTTTTACTATTCAAAGCAAACTCACCCATCCATCCATGTCTCCTTGCTTCATTTGTTGGAAAATCACTGTAAAAGACACCCCCCTCTCATTTCAGGTCATTGTCATCTTAGAAAGAGATGATTAATGTAGTGGTGACTTCCTGAAATCCACGTGCCTTTAGCTCAGGCATACAGGCAGGAGGGTGTGCTTAGCTGAGGAAACCCCCCCTACCCTATTGAAGATTCGTGGGATGTATGACATCATTTGCCTAGACCTGAAAACCAGGAAGAAACTAAAGAAAGGTAAAAAAAAAAGTTTAAAACAAGTAAATATAATATACTTTCCTATCTATTTACTAATGCTAGGAGCATAGGGATTAAACATAGATAATGTCGATTGAGAGAGTGAAGTTCCACTTTAAAACTAGTTACATTTAAAAATATATTAAGCCTGGGTTCACACTGATGAGGTCCGGAATTTGTAGCATTTTCTGTGCGAATTCCGCACCGCATCAGAATCGCACCCCGTTCATGTGAACCGCTGCGGGGGTGTATGTTAAGTTAAGAACACCCCGAAATTGGTCCGCAAAACGCGGTGCGATGTGCAGAATCAGATCACATAGGTGTGAATACCCATACAATCCGATTCTAGTGTGGACCAAAAAAAGGGCCCTGCACCTTCTTGGTGCGGGTGTGGTGCAATTAGAGCCATACAAAATGTACGGCTCCAAGAGCACCGCACACAAAATCGCATGTGATTTGCACAGGAATGCGGTGCGGTTCCTGTGCGAATCACATGCGATGTAAAGCACCGCATGTATGTGAACCCAGGCTAAAGTGGAATTAAACTAAAAAAAAAAAAAAAAAAAAGCTTAGCTTACATTTCAAACACCACTCTGCCATGATGATCTGATTGACATGAGTCAAGGCAAGGCCAATCAAGTCATGTCTATTTTTCCACACAATAAGGTGCATGGCTTTGATAACACAATGGGGTTGATTTACTAAAACTGGAGAGTGCAAAATCTGGGGTAGCTCTGCACAAAAACCAATCGGCATCCAGGTTTTTTTTGTCAAAGCTCAATGAAACCAGCTAAAGCTAGAAGCTGATTGGCTACCATGCACAGCTGCACCAGATTTTGCACTCTCCAGTTTTAGTAAATCAACCCCACTGCGCCTTAATGAACTGCAACACATTTGACTAACACACAAGCATTAAGGCAACGCATAGTTTGAATTGATCCTTAATGATTTTTTCTTTAATGAATGCATGATTGTCTTCTTAATTGGTGCTGCTCTGTAGCTTTAAAATGTATTTGACAATTTGTAAGCACTCCCCTTTAAAAGAGTTATGCAAAAAGCTGACTTTGCACAAAGCGACCTTGAAATCTTGGCCATAAGCCTTGAGACGTTTGTAATACGCAGTCCCAGGGTGAGACCCAGAGATTTCCAGGTATGTGCACAAGGCATGCTGCTGACACTTTTACCTTTGCAGTCAAACAGCTCTTTACACAAATGACAGGCTTCAATGGCTCAGCACACACCACTCATTGTATTTGTGTGGAATGTTTGTACTGCATTACCTTCACTTCACAATACAACACTCAACCTTGTCTGACATTGCTCTAACAATGCTGTATGGATTTTTCTGCTCTCCTATGTAAACAGAATTGTTCTATAGCTGTTTTATTCATGTGAGCGTCATCTGAAGTCATCATTTTGCTCTTAAACTAGCTCACAAGATCTGTGCCTGACATCACACCGGTAAACCTACCATTAGCATTTTACCCTCAATCAGTTGTATATACATTGGTTCCCTTTTCAAGCCCTGATGATGCCCCGAAACGTGACAGCTTTCCATTATGATCTGATCACATACTTGAATAAAAATGTATTTGGACTATTAACCCGTGGTGGCACAATCTTAGATCTGATGTTCTGCACTAGAAACTAATGAAACTGTTGGACCCCCCCAATGTGTAGAAACTGCCCACCCAGTCACCAGACAACCTGTCATAACACCAATTTAATACTATAGAATACCAATACGACATCCCTATAGTCCAGCGCTATCTATCTACTTTCCCAAGGATGAAGTCATCATTTGACATACTTTAGCATCATATGATGTACTGCTTTCAAACTAGTTAAAAAAACTTTCAGTGTAATGCAGGCCTTGAAAGTTTCCACTTGCCTGCTCGCATTTATGTGTGTGTGTGTCTGTATGTATGTATGTGTGTTTTTGTATGTATGTTTTTGTATGTATGTATGTATGTGTGTGTGTGTGTGTGTGTGTCTGTGTGTGTCTGTATGTATGCATGTATGTGTGTTTCTGTATGTATGTATGTATGTGTGTGTGTCTGTCTGTAGGTATGTGTGTGTGTGTCTGTGGGTATGTGTGTGTGTGTGTCTGTATGCATGTGTGTGCCTGTGTGTGTTATGGGGGGGATGGTGAGCCCTGGTGTAACGTATATCAATTTCAACAGCCTATCTGAAGGAATTTACAATTGAATTTTTGCACTGAAGTATTTTTGAAGTTGTAATTTATAAGAGAAGTCATTTTCCTAAACACTGCTAGCTTTTTGCAAATAACTCATTGTGTGCAGTGACCTGCATTAATCAGCATAGTTCAATGCATGCTAACCACTAAGGCACACAGAACACAAACATAACCTAAACCTAGTTCACATGATCAGAAAATTGTACAAAAAATACCGCTTTTGAAGCGATTGTATGCTAATCTAATCACAGCTTTCATCCAATATTATCAGAAGGGACAAGCACGAAAATGTTTCTCGTACGATACCAGATTGTACGATTTTCCTTTAATCAGCACAGTTTTCCTTCAAAAATATAATACAAATACATTACAGCATTTCCGAATTTTCTTTCTGTAGCACAAGAATTTTCCTACCTTTAGCAACCCCTTCACTTTTGATACGAAATAGCATGCGTAAAAAAACCCCCAAAAAAAACGGACGATCATTCATCCAATGTTTTCATTGTGTGCATGGGGCAAGCTCACTTTGGTGTGCATGCTGATGTGAAGACCAAAAAAACACTATTCAAACCAGGCACATATGTGAATGTAAGAAACCTGGGCAATGTACTAGAAATGCTGGCAGTTCACATACTCATCCTGAACAATATGAGAAAAGAAGCACAGTGGCTAAATGGTTAGCACTTCCGCCTGGCAGTACTAGGGTCGTTGGTTCGAATCCCAGACACGGCACCTCCTGCCTGGAGTTTGCATGTTCTCCCTGTGCCTGTGTGGGTTTCCTCCCACACTCCAAAGACATGCTGGTAGGTTAATTGTATCCTGTCTAAATTGGCCCTTGTATATGAATGTGAGTTAGGGACCTTAGAGTGTACGCCCCTTGAGGGTTAGGGACTGATGTGAATGTACTATATGTAAAGCACTGCATAAATTGACGGCGCTATATGAGTACCTGAAATAAATAAAATAAATAAATCTTACAATGGAGCGTCTGCAATGTTAAATGCATAAGAGTATAGTCATGTCTTGCCTTGCAAGCACTCCATCTTAAAATATGCTGGTGTGAAGGTCCTTCAAGGTTCACTCCAATCAAAAATCAAAAAAAAAAAAAAAATACAAGCACACCTACCACCTGTTGAGGGTTCCAGATTTTCATCCAGCTGTAGTTGCAGTGCACCCTTCTTCCTATTGTCTGTAATTCCTAGTGATCCTAGAACACCTCTCTGCATTTCAGAAGAGAAATTCTCAAACCCACCCACTGTATGGTCCTTACACTCTGACATGTCAAAGATGTTCCTCAAAGCCACCAATAAGATTCAAAACTTCTGTGTAAATAGAGTATGAACCTGACTGGTACTACACGGAGCAAAGGAAGAAGTTGCAAATCACACACATCAAAAAGCAGAATACTCCACCCACACATTAGGCACTCTCTAGAATCAAGGTGGAGTAGATTACACGGAACCTAAGGGGACCTAAACCGCTAAATACATAAAATGTACACTGATCTAACTGCCAAAAAGCTGCAAATCTGTGCAGTTGCTCTTGTGATTTATACAGAAGTGCAATTACTCCATGGGGTTGATTTACTAGAACTGGAGAGTGCAACATCTGGTGCAGTTTTGCATAGAAACCAATCAACTTCCAGGTTTTATTGTCAAAGCTTATTTCAACAAGCTGAAGTTAGAAGCCGATTGGCTACCATGCACACTTGCACTAGATTTTGCACTCTCCAGTGTTAGTAAATCAACCCCAAAGCGAAGCAGGCAACACCAATGTTATCCAGCTCAGCTTTGCAACTTCCAGTGTCACTTCTCCACCTACAGCAAGCTCAAAGAACAATGAAACATTATCATTGTTTTTTTATCCAATGAGAAGATGGGTAACAAAGGAAGGTGTAAAAATGGCCATAGACGGTGCGATTTTCATTCCTGTGACCACTGGTTGCAGGAAAGAAAATCGCTAGATTCCCCCATCAACACAGTTAGTGTTGATAGCAGAATCCCTCCTCAATCGTGTTCTCCCCAGTGGGGGGGGGGGGGGGGGGGGGGCAGCAGGGGGGGTGTCCCTGCCCGGAGAACACAGTAATTACTGCTAAAGGCTATTTTACTACTATAACAGTATTAAACCCCAAACAGGCTGGCTGTACCCATGTTGATCCATCGGCCTGCCCAAACATGGTTCAAATCTTGGCTGGTCCCTGCTGAACCGACTGAGATTCAAACCATCTATGGTCGGCTTAAGGGTCCTTTCACAAGGCACACTGCATCCAGTAAACAATCCATGAGCAGATCCCCTGCTGAATCAGAGCAGATCAGGACTGATATCACTTCTGTGACATCCATGCCCATTCAGTTTTTTGTTCACAGTTTCACAG